AGGTCACGGTAATCAACACAAGGTCTAAGAGTGTGATCCTTCTTCTCAACAAAAAAGATGCCAGCTCCTGCTGGTGATGTAGAAGGCCCAATAAAGCCTTTTTCCAAACTCTCGTCTATATATTCCTGGAGGACCTCTAATTCAGCTTCGGATAAGGGATAAATTCTACCGAAAGAAATTTCGGCGCCGGACAGGAGCTCAATTGGACAGTTGTAGGAATGATGAGGAGGAAGGATGTTGGCACTTTTTCTTATTGAACACGTCCAGATACTCGTGATATACTACAGGAACAAGTTTCATGGTTTCAGGGTCCGAGTGAATACTGAGAAGAGGAGTCGTCACACCTGTCTCTTTAGGAGTACAGTGAGTCAGACAATATTCTGAAGGGAAGAAGATTTCTCCAGACAACCAATTGATGGTTAGGTTGTGGGTTTTTAGCCACGGCATGCCGAGAATAACTGGAAAAATCGGGGAGGTAATAATATCGAGACATAGGAATTCCTGGTGTCCTGAATAGCAGAATATTGGCACGGTTTCCTGTGTTACAGGGCCAGAACTGATACCAGATCCGTTTGCCAGATAAACTGCAAGTCTTTGTGCTTTGGTACGGAGTGGAATCTGGTTTTGAGTGGCGAAGTGAGCATCCATAAAACAGCTACAAGACCCTGAGTCTATGATGGCTGGGACCATGATTGTCCTTTTGGCCAGCTGTAGCTGCAGATGAAAAGAGAGATGCGTCCGGCTTGCCCCTTGAGGGTGCATCATGTAGAAACAGTTGGGAGATTTGGCCGGGCAGGTAGCCACGAAATGACCTGCATCACCACAGTAGAAGCAGAGGTTGGACTTCTGCCAACGAAGGCGTTCTGCTGCAGATAACTGCGGTCTCCAGAAACTTCTCCTAGCTGGGTTGGTGGGTGATTCTGATGAAACAACATTCGTAGAGGGACCAATTTCGGAGCATATCAGAATCTTCCCATCCTCTCAGCCTTTCCCGAATCGGTTAATATGAATTGTCATGTCTATCAGACTCTCCAATCTGGTTGGTACCCCCACTCGGCCAGCTCATCCTTCAGGGTATCTGAAAGACCGAGGCAGAACTGATAGCGGAGAGCAGATTTGTTCCACTGAGTATCGGAACTCCAAATGTGGAAGTCAGTGACATATTCTTCCACAGGTCTCTGGCCTTGCTGCAGCCTACTGAGCATAGTTTCCAGCGGTTTGGTGCCGCAAGGGGTAATCATGGATTTGTGCCATCGCTGTAAAGAATAAGTCCACTGAAGCTAGGGTCGGATCCTGTTGTTCACGGAGATGGTAAGCCCAGGACTGGGGTTCATTTCATAACAAATCCCACCTTAGTGTTAGATGACAAGAAGGTCCTGGGGAGCAGGGAAAAATATAACTCACAGGAGTTACGAAAAGTCCTGAACTTCTTGCGGTCCCCTGTAAAGAACTCAGGTGTAGGCACCCGGGGCTCCGGTAGGGCAGAGGTTTCAAAGATCATACTGGTCTCTGTTTGAATGACTGCATCAGAGGTGGCCATGGGATCTGTGTCTATGAGAACAGTGGAGTCGGTTCGCAGTTTACTCTCCAGGTGTTCAAAGTTTTTTGTAAATCGTGTATCACGTTGAACAAGGTAGTTACTGAATGGCGAATGTCCCCCAGTTGCGAGGCCTCCCTTTCAGACTCCATCATTGGCTGACTGGTACTGTCACGTACCTGATGGGAGACTGAATTGGCGAGGTCGGCCTCACTTGTGTCACTAGCCCTGACCCTGATGAGGTTGGAATAGAGGGAGTCTAGGGACCAGTGGGACAAGAGCACCAGTGGTTGTTGCTTTCGGCTCTTGCAGGTGGTGACCTTGGTAGGCAGCGTATCTTCTGATTTGAGCAGACAGAGCAGGTTCTGTGTAGTGCCCGATGTGCAGCAGAGCAAGGTAGGTAGCCAGGACACAGGACAGGAGCAGGGTCATAGGATAGCCTGGGTCATCAACAGTCGGGCAGCGCAGTACAGAATCAGAAGGAAAAGCCAAAGTTAGGAGCAGAGCCGAAGTCAGGAACCAGGAGCAGAAGAGTAACCGGAGTCGGGTCAGGAACAAGCTGGGTCAGCAACAAAGGAATCGTACAGAAGCAAGCAGGACACAGGGGGAGCTGAAGACCAGTCAGCACTGAACTTGAGCAGATGCCCTCCTTAAATAGCCCATCTGGCGCCAATCTTCACCGTGTGTGTGCACGTGCATGTGCATGTGCGTGATCGCGCATTCCTGCGTGCCTGCGCACAACTGGCAATTCTTCTGCGGGATCTCTTTCGTGCATGCGCGTTCCCGATTGCGATTCTTCTTGCCGGAAATCCCTTACACTTCCTCTTCACTTGAATACCTAGGCATTCGCTTGACCCCCACCTATGGTTCTTTGCTGCAAATTATTATCCATTGCTTCACTCTCTTATGCACTCCTGGCAATTTTCGTACTTGTCTTGGATAGGACGGGTTAATTCAGTGAAAATGACAATGCTGCCTAAATTGTTGTACTATTTCCGCACCCTCCCAGTGCAGTGTCCTCCTCATTTCCTTCGGTTGATTCAGGTGAGGATTATGTGATTTATCTGGGCTGACAGGCGCCCCAGAGTCTCCAGAAATACACTTTTGTCCATAGACTTCAGGGAGGTCTTGGGGTGCCAAATGTAACTAAGTATTATCAGGCGAGCCAGATTGCCCCACTGCCTATGTTGCATGCTTCCTCTGACGTCCCTCTCTGGGTCCTGCTGGAACCACCTAATTGTGCCCCTATTGTGACATCGACACTTCTATGGCTCCCCCCTGCCCTACGCACTATGATACTGAGTCCGATTTTGCTTCATGGCCTACAAGTGTGGGACTCGGTACGCTACTCTAGTGGCTTGATGTCACCTTTCTTACCCTTGCTCCCAATTATTAACAATCCTCTCTTCCCGCTGGGTTTAGATCAACCAAGGGCGTACTCTTGGTGGGTGGCCAATGGTTTTTTGCAACTCTGACATTTTTTGACTTCTCATTCCATCCCCACCTGGAATTCTCTTCGGGAGTCACAGGATGCCCCTCAGATGGAATTTTTTTGTTACCTTCAATTGCGGCATTGGCTGACCTCACTGAGCGGCACTTCTGCTTCCTGTATCAGAAATATGCCTTTGAACAGCTTTGCCAACAGCGTCCGGGCGCCCCGGGCCTTATTTCCCTTCTTTATGCATCTCTGAATAGACGCTCGCCGCTTACTTCTCTCTCATATGTCACTCAGTTGGAGCGTGACCTGGGGGAGGTCATGGATCTGGAGGACTGGAATAGGGCCTGGTTGTTTATAGCTAAATTTTCAGCTAATACAACCGCGCTGGAGTTGGCATACAAAGTATTGTTTTGTTGGTACTATCAAGGTCCTACCTTTCCTCAGGGCTTGTTCTGCTCCATGTGCTGGCATCCATTTTAGGTGTCTGCAAAGCATTGTGGGATCCTTTATGCTTTCAGCCCTCTGCGGCTCCTCCCAGGAGGTGGCGGCTTATCACATTTAAGTCTGCTGTTTGCAGCTGTCCATTGCATTCGTGTCCTGTCTGTTGCACAGCAGCAAGCTCCTGTTCAGTTAACTCTTTGCTCTCCTGGATACCGACTCGGCTTTGGCTAAGACTCCTCCTGGCTTCTGACACCGACTCTGGCGACCATTCTTCCTGGCTTCTGACCCCGGCTTTGGCTACGATTCTCGCTAGTTCTCGACTTGATTATCCTGGAAGACGACCTCGGCAGGAGATCTTCTGTCCTACCAAATCATCTGCTGTTGCTGTCGGACTTGCATAGACTCTTGCCTTGTTTCTGTGTAAATAAACCTACCTTTAATTGCACCTCCTTGTGTGTCTGGCTCCTCGCTCCCTGACAGGTACTGGGTCCCGGCTCGTTTGGCCCAGGCAAACCCTGCCTGCAGTGATCACTGCTATCAGGGTTGTGGTCATCGTGAAGATGTGATGCATATATGGTGGTCATGCCCCGTAACTGATTCGTTTTTGGTCTTGTTTTTTTTGGCCTCCTTTTCACCTTGTTCTATATCTCCATACGCTGGTATGCTCGGTACGCTTTGCTTCATTGTCCCATACTGGGCCTGTTGGCTCACCAGCAGAAGTTGGCTTCCTATTTGTTCTTGTCGGCAACTAAAACAATTACTCAGGCATGGAAGAGCCTGTCTGTCCCTCTTCAGGGGGTGCGGGACCGTATGACCACTCTGATGCTCCATGAACAGATGTCGAGTATCTGTAACGACTTCAAATGGAAATTTCTGAAAATATGGGAGCCGTGGTTGACATATGCTTTTCCCACGCTCCCCCCGGCTAGTCTGGGTTTGTGATGTTGTTCGGTGTGGACGTTCCCGGACCCCTGCTACTGGTCTTGTCTTCTTTTTTCCTTTCTATTTTTGCTTGCCTTTTGTGAGGCGGTGGATAGCTGCCATTGGTTTGAGCTACTGTCAGTATTATATCACTATTTTTGTAATTTATGTGCCATTGATAGCCCCTGCTCTGTTGGATAGCCTTTTGCTCTGTTGGTGTTAGAGCACTGTTGTTTTTTTTTTTTTTTCACTTTTTATGTGCCATTGATAGCACCTGTGTGGGTGTGTTTTGTTGCTCGAGTCTTGTTGAAATGTTACAAATTAATATAAACAATTGAAATACAAAAAGACAAAAGGGAATGTGAGTGGAGAGCCTTGAAAAATGCATTATGGTATTTAGCCTATTTAAACAAAGCAGCACAAACATCTCAGCCACTAAAGATTACCTACAAGCATGAAAATATTCTAAAATTGAATGTGATAGTGGCCATCTATGTATAATATAATATAGTGTAAATAGTTGAGAACATCAGGAGGACAACACCAGCATATGCTTTTACCACTAGTAGATAACTGTATTTATACTGCACTGCAATGTAACAAGCCATTGTGAAGAATAGAAGTACTGTATGTGATTAACCAGAATCAGTGCAGATCTCTTACCCTCCAGTTCCTCTAAATCTTTGGGCTTGGTCCAGCGTGATTCCTTGGTCTGAGAGTTATAATAATAGGGTTTGCCTGTATCTGATTTATATTCTTTCCAGTTACACTGTGAGAAGAGAAGCTGAAAGAAAAAATGAAAAAGCAGTTGCACTACTGTAGTTTTGTTTTACTTATTTTTTTTACACATACAAATGCAAAAAGTCATAAGTGAAGGCACCATAGTGGACCACATATGTAAAACCAAGCTTACCTCTTGCTACGGTGCATAATGTTTCTTAATTCTGTTTTCTGACTTCAAGTTTACTAAAAATTATCTGTTTGTAAACCAAATAAACAACAGACTCTGCACTTTCTAATGATGTGAAATGTCCACAATGCACCTAGTAGGCAACATAAACTAAATAAGGTTTACGTCACACGAGGAAACTAAAAGGCAGCATCATTTAACATATGCATCACTTGCTTAAGTGAAGTGTGAATTTTAGTAATAGGTAAACTTTAATATTTCTGTAGCTGAAATATATGAATTTCTGGTGAAATGTCTGTTGGGAAGGCAGATTCAACATTGTCTATATCTTTCTCTAGCTTAAACTTTACAATTAGCTATAAAGCATTATGTGCAACCTGAACTTCAGTCTAATTGTAGCTCCAATCAACACTCTTATGCTCCCTGCTCATGAAACATGAGTGTTGCTGAATGAGTAGAGTAGCTGTGACGGCAGGGTATTTTTGGAATCGCTGGAGATTATCTGCTGGTCTCACAGAATACTGTGGTCCTTTAGCATGCTGCTTTGGAAGGGGAGATTGTGGTAGAGCTGAAGCATTTCTAAAGAGAAAAAAAAAGACATTTGAAAACTTTACTTTTTAGGTACCTTGCCCTTATATAACAGTTTAAAAACTGGGCTATGGAACTGCACTCAGGGGAAGATTTGCTAGGTCCCGTAGTTTGTCTTTCTCTTCTCTTGCCTTTCTCTTTCTGTTTAACTGCCAGTGGTTTTTCATCTGGTGACCAGTTCATGAAATATATAAGAACATGGATCTCATGTGGTTGATATCCTTTCTATATGAAGTGGTGAAAGGGACCAGTTAGATGATTTTTTGGATTACCTGAAGAGGAAAAAATTGGTTATCAGACATGTGCCCTAAAGGTAACTATTGCTGTGGGTCTTGCACTGTAGGCCCCTATATGATGAAAGTAAATAAAATTGTGTGGATATATGCATTGCTTTCAGGAATTGATCAATTGTCACACAACATAAAAGGAATTTTGACTTACCTGTAGTTTCCATATCTTGGAGTACAGTAAAGATATCCATAGACCCTGGGTTATATGCTAGTACCTTCAGGTGATTGAACACTGGTACTAGTACTGCAATGTTTTCAAAGACACACCCTAAGGACATTCCCCTAAAACCCTACTTCCATTCATTGAGTACTCATCAAAACACTCAGTGTTTTTTTGGCAAGCAATGCAGAGTAACACGGGCACAGAGGGGGGGTGTCCTGTGTACTGTCAGTGGCAAGTATCAAGTCTGTATCTTGTACTGTATGATTAAGATAAAAGGAGTTTTGACTTACCTGTAAATTCCATATCTTGGAGTACAATCCAGGACACAGGCAATATTCATGCACCATAGGATACAGATACATAAGCTTTTAAGAACATAACTCCCTGAGGCGCCTTCCCTATAACCCTATCCCACTCCATGAATCCTCAATGTTGTAGCATGCAACGCAGAGTAAACCAAGAAAAGGAAAGGAGGGTGGCCTGTGTCCTGTATTCTACTCCAACATATGGAATTTACAGGTAAGTCAAATTTCCTTTCGTCCTAATCATACAGAAAAGGACACAGGCAACATATTAATACACCATGGACATCCCCAAGCAATGTATATTAAGGGTGGGCAACAACTAGAAAAACAGAACTTTGCCAGCAGGCCCAAAAAGCAACAGGGGTTAAAAGACCCAAGTTCAGAGTGCCGCTGCAAGAGCCAAAAGCTGCATCTGCAAAAGAATGGACATCCATCTGGTAAAACTTTTTGGCATTTGACGCCAAAATGCCCAGGAAACTCCCACTGATCTGGTGGATTGGGCGCAAAACAGCGAAGGATGAGGGTTTTGCTTAAGACCTCTTGCAATCAAGTTCCTTATCCACCAAGGCAATAATGAATTTTGAAGCAGGGTGCCCCATGCAAGGTATCAAGGAGGGAACAAACAGGGAATCCATTCGTCTGATGGAAGCGTTAGTTTTGAGGTATACTCTAATGGCTCTAACTACATCCAGGCAATGAGACAATTTCTTTGAAATGCTTAGGAGCAGGGCATAATGATGGAAATTTAATGTTTGCATTGAGCTGGAACACTGAAACCACCTTTTAACCACTTGCCTACTGGGCACTTCGTGCCCAGGCCAATTTGTCGCACTTTGAATGACAATTGCTTGGTCATGAAATATTGTACCCATATGAATTTTTTTCACACATATAGAGCTTTCTTTTGGTGGTATTTAATCACCACTGGGTGTTTTCATTTTTGCGCTATGAACAAAAAAAGAGAGATAATTTTTTTTTAAAAAAGTTTTTCTTTGTTTCTTTTATAAAATTTTGCAAAGAAGTAATTTTTTACCTTCACTGATGTGCATTGATGAGGCTGCACTTATAAGCAGCACTGATGGGCACTGATGAGGTGAGACGGATAGGCAGCACTGATAAGCTGCACTGATGAGGTGCATTGGGTGGTACTGCTGGCCACTGATGGGAGGCACTGCTGGGCACTGGTGGGTAGCACTTCTGGACACTGATGGGAGGAACTGATGGTCACTGGTGGGGGGACACTGCAGGGCACTGATCAGCAGTGCCCTGCTGATCAGTGCCGATCTCCTCTTACAGCTGTCGGCTATCGGCAGTACTTTCGTCATGCTGTGACAGCGTGAGGAATGTGCTGACAATAACTGGCAACTGTATTTACTCAGTGATCTGCTGTTTCATTGGACACAGCTGATCATGTGGTAAAAGGCTGCTGCTGTGACTGGCTTTTTACCTCATCCCGTGATTAGCTGTGTCCATAGGACACAGCGATCATGGAGATCACCGGGTGCACGGCCCTGGGGCGCGTTCTTGGAGGACGTCATATGACAGCCTCCCAGAACTGGGTAACCGTGCTGTAGCCGTCATTCGGCTATAGCGCAGTTACCAAGTGGTTAAAGATAGGATGGTCTTGAGTTTAAATTGGAAGTAAACTATTTTTAACTTTTACCTACAGGTAAGCTTATGATAGAGCTTACCTGTAGGTAAAATGAATATCAACTAAACGTGTACCGTTTAGGAGATATTTGCTCTTTATTAGAGCCAGCGCATGTGCTCTGAAGGAATGGAGTAGCCATGTTGTTCCTTCAGAGTACTTGCCATGGCCCGTGACGCCCACTCGCATGCTGGAGGGCTTCGTTTTAAGGTAAGTCCTTTATAATATGCTAGTATACGATGCATACTAGCACATTATCATGGATGCGATGCATACTAGCACATTATATTTCCTTGCAGGGGATTTTATTATTTTTGTTTTTTACCTGGAGTTTACTATTGCTTTAAGAGAACCTTGTCATTATGAAGTATGAGGCAATGCTCTTTACGGTAAGGGGGCACCAGTTCTGGTATTATTTCACTGCACCTGGATTGTGTGTCCCTTGTGTCTGCAGGGACAACCTGACTGCTCTGAACTCCAGGATGTTGATAGGGAGCTTGGTTTCCTCTCTTGACCATGTTTCTTAAACTGTCAATGATTGGATAGGAACATGGATAAACCGAGGGAAAGAGCCAACAAAATGTTTTATTGGAGAGTTCTTAAATGGAATTGTCGAAAGGCCCAGTTTCAAAGGAGGCAACCATAAGAGCTAGAACTCTCATAAAGAATCTCACTGTGGGATTCCTCTTGGATCTCAGTTCTCAAGCATTACCTATTAGAGAAAGAATTGTCTTTTCAGGAAGAAAGACTTTCACTTGGGAATGTGCCCAGGACCAAACCCAAGGTTGGAGAGCAAATATTTTTTTAAATTGATCACCCAGCTGAAAGCCTGGCGCGGTTGAATGGTCCTGTGGACATTTTCTGACAACTGACTGGGAGAGGAGTCCTTCAGAAGAAGGTTGTCTAGCCTGTGAATTAAATGCCCTGGGTTCTAAGCAGGGCCAACAGAGCTGCTAAGGCCTTTGTGAACACTCTGGGAGCAGAGGATGGGCTGAAGGGCAGTGTAAAAAACTGGAGGTGGTTTTCTGTTACTGCAAAGCGTACAGTGCTGATCTTGGATATTTACTAATGACAGATATACCCTTTGTTTCAGAGAGGCAACTACTGACCTTGGATTTTCCATGCTGACTTCTGGAACTTGAAGGAATTCACCCTCCAAAAGAGGGTGAATATCCCTGGTGGGATTTGATACCATAACCAGGTTTGAGTAGAGACCTTTGAACCTGTCCTGTGAAGGTACTGGCATAACTCCCTGGAAAGAGAGGTGTTCAGGACTTTTCCCAAATCTAAAAGCCTTTGAGCAGTCTTTGGATTGTTTAAAAAAAGAATGTAGTGAATGGGCAGAGCTTCAAACTTTATTTTGTATCCTCTTGCAACCACTGATTGAAATCACAGGTCTGGGACATCTGTGACTCAGAAAGAAACAAACTGTAACAGACTTCCCTGACCCTTGGGAGTGAGGGAGTTCCTTCATTGTGTGGAGGGCTTTCGAGAAAGCTTTATGGCTTCTGTGTGCCAAGGCTTGAGATGAAAGGAAGGGCTGAACTTAGGCTTTGAGGTTCAAGCCTGGGTAGAGCGGAGAAGCTCTGCGTTCCTCAGAAAGAGGTTTGTGGAATCTTTCTTTGTAAAAATTAAAACCTTTCCTCTGGTGACCTCTTTGATAGATTGGTCATGAGCCTCACCAAACAGACATCTTTCCTGGAAGGCACATTTTGAAGGTAGCTTTAAGCCTTAAGAATATGTGGATATTAGAGCCACTATGGAAATTTGTCTCTTGACCTGTTCTATGGCATCGACACAAAAAAAAAAACAGAGCAGACACCAATTGCTGTAGTTGCTCTGTACCAGCCCTGAAAAATATGGGTCATGTTGATTGTTCATTGTCCTAGCTGAGCTAGCTGCATAGCAGGGATAGCACAGGAATAGCCCACTTTGCAAACTCTTTTTTCACTGGAAAGAGGTTGGCAAAGACATTGGGGGGAGTGAAAATCCTTCCTGGCATGACCCATTTGTCATAGACTGCACATTCTATCTGTTCAAGAACAGGGATATGGGGGTTTCTTTGACCCCAAGGTGTATGGAGATGAATGACAGGCTGCACAATGCCAAGGTTCTTGCAGACTGTGGCAATGAGCTTTTCAACGTTAGCATTCTGGGGAAGAGAAATCTTCCACATACCTCAATAACCTCTTAATTTCAATCTGTATCTGTGTCTTTTAGAACCGGCAAATCAGGTGTAGGAGAAGTCGTAGGGTGTTTCTGAGCCCTAGACAAAGATACTGGAGTCCTAATATGTCCAAGGAATTGTGCCATAAATGCAGAAAATTCTGCTTTTGTCAGGTAGGTAACATGTTGCATACATTAAATAGAGCTAGAATTGAATGCAGACATTGGTGTTAGAACTGGGTTCTGGTCTGGTGCAAGGGACTCATTAACCACTTGCTAACTGGGCACTTATACCCCCTTCCTGCTCAGGCCAACTTTCAGCGTTGTCACACTTTGAATGACAATTGCAAAGTTATGTAATATTGTACCCATATGAAATGTTTATCATTTTTTTCACACAAATAGAGCTTTCTTTTGGTGGTATTTAATCGCCACTGGGTGTTTTATCTTTTGTACTATAAACAAAAGAAGAAAAATACATTTGAAAAAAAAAAAGTTTATCTTTGTTTCTTTTATGACATTTTGCAAACAGGTAATTTTTCTCCTTCACTGATGGGTGTTGATGAAGCTGCAATGCTAGGCAGCACTGATGAGGTGGCATGGATAGGCACTGATGAGGCTGCACTGATGAGGCTGCACTGATATGCAGCAATGATGGGCACTGATAGGCGGCACTGACTGATGACACTGGTGGGTGGCACTGTTGGGTGGCACTGCTGGGTACAGGTGGGTGGCACTGCTGGGCACTGATGGGTGGCACTGCTGGGCACTGATCATCAGGCACTGATGATGCTGCACTGATAGGCGGCACTGAAAGGTGGCATTGATGGGCAACACTGACGGGTGGTGCTGACTGAAGGCACTGACTGACAGCCCTGGCAGGTGGCACTGACTGGAGGCACTGATAGGCGGCACTGCTGAGCACTGATGAGAGGGAATGCTGGGGGGCACTGGTGAATGGTACTGCTGGCCACTGATGGGAGGCACTGCTGGGCACTGGTGGGTAGCACTTCTGGACACTGATGGGAGGAACTGCTGGGAACTGGTGGGGGGACACTGCAGGGCACTGATCATCAGTGCCCTGCTGATCAGTGCCGATCTCCTCTGACAGCTGTCGGCTATCGGCAGTACTTTCGTCATGCTGTGACAGCGTAAGGAATGTGCTGGCGATAACCGGCAACCGTATTTACCTGGTGATCTGCTGTGCCATTGGACACAGCTGATCACGTGGTAAAAGGCTGCTGTGATTGGCCTTTTACCACATCACGTGATCAGCTGTGTCCATAGGACACATCAATCACGGAGATTGCTGGGTGCACGCCGATGGGGGCACGCGAGAGGTCACGTCACGTCACGTGGAGGCAGCCTAGGCGGCATTTCCTTAAAAGTTTGCCAGTGTCCAATCACCTGAAGGTACGCGCCTATTACCCCTGGTGTATGAATATGTTGCATGTATCTTGTACTGTATAATTAAGATCGGTTTATCGCATGATGTGCCCCTGTGGCTACTATTATACTGGTAAAAATATTAGAATGTTGAAGGATCACATTTAAGAACATCTGAGATCAATTGAAACTGGAATAGTATCGGTAAGGTTTATTATTCATATTCAAGAAGGACATAATGGGGATGTAAAAGTAGTAAAAGTTATGGGATAGCAAATAATCAAAATGGGCCATTGTGTAGGTAATCATGGAAAGATACTTTGGCAGGGAATCAAACTAATCTCATTTACTACCGTGTTTCCCCGAAAATAAGACATCCTCCGAAAATAAGACCTACTTACAGGTTTCCTTCTGAGTGAAATATAAGGCATCCCCCCAAAAATAAGGCCCACCTAGGCTCTGTCTCGTAATGAAAATTAATTTACTGTAAACTGGTTGCTAGGGCTGCCCCGACTGGCGTCTAGCAACCAGTGATGTCACTGCTGTGTGGAGGCGGAGCGGAGGTCGGAGTGAGCGGGAGAGAGAAATGCGTGTAGAAGAACAGGAGGATCAGAGTGGACGGGACGCGGCGAAGGTGGTGAGTGCTGGTCTGTCTCTGGTGACACCGCCCTCATGATGACTAAAGGTTCTCAGTCAGTGGCAGACCCTGCTTCAGCCCAGGTCCAGGCCCCAGCCAGCCCAGTGACAGTCCCCAGGGGGGAAATGTCTGATAAAGGGGTGGGGGGGATGTCTGGTGAAGGTGTTCAGTGGCACAGGGGTGGGGGGTCACTTAAAATGACACAGGAGGATCAGAGGGGGCAATCAAAATGACACAGGAGGATCAGAGGGGGCAATCAAAATGACACAGGAGGATCAGAGGGGACAATCAAAATGACACAGGAGGATCAGAGGGGGCAATCAAAATGACACAGGAGGATCAAAAGGGGTTACTGAAATGGTAATCCCCCCTCTGATTCTCCTGTGCCATTTTGATTCCCCCTCTGATCCCCCCTGTGTCATTTTAAGTGATCCCCCTCCCCCCACCCTGATACCCCAGTTCTTTTTTTTTTGTTGACAACTACCGTACTACCGTACCGTATACAGGTAATACATTTCCTTTATTTTCATTTACCAATAAATGTGTACCATATTCTTCTTCATGGAAAAATAAGACATCAACTGAAAATAAGACCTAGCTCATCTTTGGGAGCAAAAATTTATATAAGACACTGTCTTATTTTAGGGGAAACAGGGTAATATAACAGGTCCTTTGGGAGTAAGTGAAAGAAATTAAATTAATGCTTTCATATAGTGAAATTCTGGGTAAGACAAACTGTATATCTGGGTTGTAGCAATGCTGGTTATGAATGTATATGTGGCTTGTAGAGGTGCTTGTGGTAGTGCTTGCTGTGACTGTATATGTAGCTTGTAGCAGTGCTTGGGAAAGCACTTTTGTTAGTGCCTGTTATGGCTGTATATGCTTCCTGGAACAGTATTTGTTCTGGATAGATGGGCTGTATATGTGGCTTCTAGAAATTCTGGTTATGGCTATATATGTGGCTTGTGGCAGTGTTTGCTGCGGCTTGTAACAGGTCTTGTTGAAGGATGTATAGCATGGGTTAATGGAGCTTCACTCGGGGGGGGGGGGGGGGGGGGGGGGGGGGGGGGGGGGGGGGGGGGGGGGGGACAAGTGAATTCTTAAATGGCAGGTAATTCTTGAATGAAGACATATCCAACTGCCTTGACAAAGCATATGTTTTACAGGAGAAAAGTTCATCAGCTGGCTGTGTTTTACTTGTTTTTAGCTTTTGGAACTTTTGCTCAAATAAAGAACATTGAAATGTAGTGAGTGTCCTGGATTTTGTTTTCTTGGATTGCTATATTTGGATACTTCTTTACAAGACCATCTGTTGTGAATCCAGAAGTATGCTCAGAAGTGTTGGATCTCTAAGGGCAATCTCTCCATTGTGCACTAGTCTGAGCTCCATCCAGGGTTACTACTGGTGAAGGCCACACATGTACATTACTTGTACTGTTTACACCTGATAATCATACTTCTGTTTTAGACTTCAAGTCATCTGGCTTCTCCCAGGTGGATTGTTTGGTTTCTGTGTTGTAGTAGTAGGTTCGTCCATCTGGTGCTTTGTGCTCTGTCCACAGGGATTTCTAAGATTAAAAAAAAAAAAAAAAAAAAGACTTAAAATTAAAAAGGGAATTTTTATTTACCTGTTCTTGGAATAGAACTCCAATTCCAAAAACATTGAGACACTGTAAAATCTACATAAAAACAATATAATCAACAGAAACAACAATCAATAGAAAATATATATAATGTGTAAACTGCGGAAATGTACCATTTTAAGAAAAAATATTTTCAAACTGGCAGCAACACATCTCAAAAAAAATTGGGTCCGGGCAACAAAAAGCTGGCAAAGTACAACCCCCAATCCCAAAAAAGTTTGGACAGGGCCATGTTTACTATGAAATGCAGCATCCACTCTTCTTTTTTAACAACACTATATCTCTCTATATATAACATCTGGGAACCAAGGAGACCAGTTGCTAGAGTTTTGGGAGAAAAAAGTTATCCAATTCTTGCCTGAGCATATGCTGCTCTAAAAACTGAATTTACCTATACAGTTGTGTTCAAAATAATAGCAGTCAGACATCATTAATAATTAGAGAGGGTAGAGGTTCATAGATATGCTGTATCACCCAATATATGGTTTCTGTCCAGTAACCAAAAAACATGCATACAAAAAAAGGGGGGTTGTGAAAAAGAGATTCACAAAAACGTGGTTACATCATGGACAGAATGTGATAATCAGAATAATTCCCCAAAATTATGCTTTATTACACAATAATTATAGACAATAGGGTAAATACCCTGGTTCACTATCACCTCAATATGAGAAAATACAAAGAGACCTAAAATCACATAAAAACAACATCAAGACCGGTCTTAATATTCATGTACTGCATATGTAATGACAGAAACCTGTCTAGTGCATTTGCAGCACCAGCACATTGGTTACACCACCAGCAGGGGGTGTGTCAAAAAATTGTACCATCAGGTATAATACTGCACAACGCTATGCAATAATGGCTGATAACAGGCACCATATATTAATAAAATTACCCATAACACAATCAAGGCAATGTGGGTGAAAAATTGAAAATAAAAAAGGGGGTACGGATGCTCCTAAAATATCAGGATGATAGCAATACAGCCCCTATTTAGGGCATGAGTGAGTGGTGAACATGTACAGATTCACAGTGGACATGCCCATATGTATAGATGCAGAGTCATGCATAAAGGAATCACTGTTGGTATCCTTAATGAGATAAAGATGGCAGGGCCCTGCTTTAAGGGGTTTCTTCACCGCAACATGCGGACTATAAACCACTTTAATATAGATGATAGTATGAAGCCTGCTAGGTCCTCCGTCTCTTGTAATGTATAATTGGTGCCTTGCACCCGGATAGTGAATCATATTGTCCCCATCCTGCAATAAATTGATGACAAATGGACAGTCAATCAATATGTATTCTTGCTGATGTATGTGTAGAGTGGCGAATAAACGCCTTTTCATTTAGCTGTGTGACAGTTCACTCACTACCCGAGCCATAGGTGATACTTTCTGGAAGTTTCCTCCGTCTGGATTACCAGGCATGGTCCCGGAAACAGCCGTTACCATTGGGACCGTGACTGACGGGCTCCATTCTCCCCTTGGTGCCTGTGCAGCCTTGCACAGCTCATGGCGCACAAATATGGCCGCTTCCCTGCTGGTCAGCGTGTGTGGTGCCAATGCATATGACTGGAAGTGACGTATCTGATGTATGACGTCAGCGCGTTTCGCCGATGGGTGTATCTCACTCGGCTTTGTCAGGACCAATGAGACGTCTGCCTTTCAGCTTCCTATTTATCCTGGGCTCAACACCGCCCATATATGCAAATCAGTTACTGGCAATCATTCTCAAGGGGAAATGGAGCTAATTACTTAGCAAGACAGCTGGTCATATAACTCAGTTAAAAGAGTAGACACCTGGGCACTCCGAGAAGGAGGAAAAATTTCCTACTTTCTTATGTCATTAAGAGGGATCAAATGTCTGCCACCAAACTTCCCACAAGGTGGCGCTGCTAATTTATAATTCTACACACTTGACTATTTTTCTAACAATACTTGGAGATCACACTCAATATTCAACCCTTTTGGGAATAGAGTATCAAGTTTATAAATCCAATATTTCTCACGGTTTAATAGTTCTCTATCAAAGTCACCTCTCCTCTGAGGAAAATTTAGTGCATTAATACCTTTCATTTTAGTACCCTCTAATTTACCTCCATGGCATTTAGCGCAATTTATTTATTTATTTATTGAGTTTATATAGCGCCAAAGGGTTTGCTCAGCGCTGTACAATAGAGGGGGGGACAATACATGAAACAGTACAGTAACATCAAACAGCACACGAGGGGTTAGAGGGCCCTACTCTTTCGAGCTTACAATCTAGGAGGGAGGGGGTAGTGGTACAGGAGGAAATGGCTGTGGGGTCATTGGTCATTGTGGGGTAATGCTGAGCTAAATTGCTGTCGGGGTCATTGGACCTAATATCTCTAAAGTGTTTTACCTATTCGTACCTTATGCTGCCTAGTTTTACCAATATACATTTTTTTACATGGACAGGTCAACATATAGAGTACTCTGGCTGTGGAACAATTAATAAGACTTTGAATTTTAAAGTGAGCTTTATTATTAGAATCAGAAAAAATGTCTGTACGATCCACAAATTTACAAATTTGAGACTTTCCACATCCCTTTTGTATGTGACTTCAGCCATGTTGGTTGTTTTAATGGCTGATAGTCAGAGTGGATAAGAAGGTCGCCCAAATTTGGTGATCTTCTTGCTACCATTAGAGGACGTTCACCTACAATTTTACCAAGATTACGGGCACTGTGTAAGGATCTTCCAATGTTTTTCTAATATTTGTTTAACATCCCCCCATTGTGCTCCAAACTGGGTTATCATCCTAACTGGTTGTATAACTTGTTTCTCCTTCTCTTCCTTTATCGGGGACAATAACGTCATACGGTCAGTCTGATCTGCCCGTTTTCTAGCTTTTCTAATCTGAGAGTGAGAATATCCCCGTTCTCTAAACCTTTTATAAAGGTCCTGTGCCTCTATCCTAAAGTCATCACTAACCTGATCAATCACTGTTTTTGGTAGAAATGATATTTCTACATGGCAAATAATTTACTAGCAGGTGTAGTAGAGTAATAGAAATCCAACAGACCCAACAGTCATGACATGCATGCTGCTGATTCTGTGTAATTGAATCACTCATTGAAAGGGGCATGTTCAAAATAATAGCAGTGTGGAGTTCTATTAGTGAGGTCATTCATTCTTTGAAAAACAGGTGGCAATTATTGCCCTTATTTAAGGAAGGAAGGCAGCAAATGTTGTACATGCTGGTTACAGTGCATTTCTCTCTGAAATTCTGAGGAAAATGGGTCGTTCCAGACATTGTTCGGAAGAACAGCGTACCTTGATTAAAAAGTTGATTGGAGAGGGGGAAAACATATAAAGAAGTGCAGAAAATGATAGGCTGCTCAGCTAAAATGATCACAAATGCGTTAAAATGGCAACCAAAACCTGAAAGATGTGGAAGAAAGCAAAAAACTACCATTCGAATGGATAGGATAGCCAAAATGGCAAGGACTCAGCCAACAATCAGCTCCAGGAAGATTAAAGAAGGTCTAAAGTTACCTGTGAGTACTGTTACAATTAGAAGACGCCTATGTGAAGCCAAGCTATCTGCAAGAAGCCCCCCGCAAAGTCCCACTGTTGAAAAAAAGACGTGCTGAAGAGGTTACAATTTCCCAAAGAGCACATTGACTGGCCTAAAGAGAAATGGCGCAACATTTTGTGGACTGATGAAAGTAAGATTGTTCTTTTTGGGTCTAGTGGCCAGAGACAGTTTGTCAGACGACCCCCAAACACTGAATTCAAGCCACAGTACACTGTGAAGACAGTGAAGCATGGTTGCGCAAGCATCATGATATGGAGATGTTTCTCATACTACAGTGTGGGGCCTATTTATCGCGTACCAGGGATCATGGATCAGTTTGAATATATCAGAATACTTGAAGAGGTCATGCTGCCTTATGCTGAAGAGGAAATGCCCTTGAAATGGGTGTTCCAACAAGACAACGACCCCAAACACACCAGTAAACGTGCAACATCTTGGTTCCAGACCAACAAGATTGACGTTATGGAGTGGCTAGCCCAATCCCCGGATCTTAATCCAATAGAAAACTTGTGGGGTGACATCAAAAATGAAGTTTCTGAGGCAAAACCAAGAAATAGAGAAGAACTGTGGAATGTAGTCCAATCATCCTGAGCTGGAATACCTGTTCACAGGTGCCAGAAGTTGGTTGACTCCATGCAACACAGATGTACAGCAGTTCTCAGAAACAGTGCTTATACAACAAAATATTAATTAAGTGATTCAAAGGAAAGCAAAATCTTAAAACATTTTTCAGTTTATATAGTGAATGTTTGAGTTTGTAAAGAAGAATACAAACACTGCTATTTTATTGAACAGTCTAATATTCACTTTTCTTCAATTTTTTAGAGGAACAACACAAATTTGATATATTTTTCTTCATGTTTTGATTTGGAATAGAATGTGTAGTGTTCCCAATGCATTTGTGTGTATGGAAATAAAAGCTATTAGAAGGATTTTGAGCTTTATTCACTTTTCTCAACACACTGCTATTATTTTGAACACAACTGTATATCTTTCAGCATTGATGGTGCCTTTCCAGATATGCAAGCTGCCCATTAAATATGAATTAATACATCCCCATACCATCAGAGATGCAGGCTTTTGAACTGTGTGCTGATGATAGCAAGGTCCCTTTCTTCTTTAGTCTGGAAAATGTGAAACCCATGGTTGCCAAAAGAATGTCAAGTTTCAATTCATTTGACTACAGAACAGTTTTCCACCTTGCAACAGACCATTTTAAACAAGCTTTGGCCCCGAAAAGATGGCTGAGTTTCTGGATTATGTTCAGATATGGCTTCTTTGCATGATAGATTTAACTTACATTTTTAGATGGGACGGCAAACTGTACTCACAGACAGTGATTTTTGAAAATATTCCT